AAACAAAAACAAATGAGCACCGTCCACGTGAGTTCTCTAGCAACACTTGTAGACTCCGGATTCCATATTTGAAGGCGTCTGTCGTGGAGCTCATTTTTATCATAAGTCCAAAAATGCTTTTTGCCATCATCCCACTCAACTTAGTTATCGTAATAGCATATTGGTAAGCGTTGGTAGTTCTTGTTTTGTTCGAAAATCTCAAGAGCCCTTTTGCTGGTGTAACCAAAAATGCTCTAACATTACTTGTATGACCTTGAAATGTTATACGGCAACCCGAGGGCTATAGACAAATTTACATTTTGGTAATAGACAGCCTCTGAACACAAGTGGCAGCACCTAAGCTTGCTCTACTGTTAGCCGCGTGCATTTGGCGGACCGACATTTCGAATTTATAGTTAGTTTCCAGATACCTGTGAAATGCTAGCTCGATGTGATCTCGAAGAACACGAGCAGCGCTGTGTGTACGCCTATACCCTACACCGCAAACGGTACTGTGCCGTTTGCTTCGAATAATAATGACCGCCGTATGATGCTTATTCCTTTGCAGTATCTTACGGATCATTCGAATCGATGCGACTTTGACAAATGCGTGCCAGCAGTAATCAGCAGCTTCATCACTCGCCGGGCCAAAGCTACATTGTCAGAGAAACACATGGACCGGGTGCTAAAGCGTATGGACAAGGCCGAAGTTACTCAGGTATGATGTAATTCTGCGTTGCCCAAACATCGCAACTTGCTTTCGAGTAATTTGTTGTGCAATAAACGCCAGGAATAGTGGATATCAGCAGTAAAAAGCATGCCGGACATCTGTCGGATGGTCTCAAAACCCACCTAGTGGCTGCCCTTATGGAAGCACGAGTAGTCATTATTTGTATATGCCTTGCTATTGATAAATTTAACGAGCAGTAACACTGTGGAAACGGTACTTTCTTTACATTTCAACGAAAATATGTGACGTCCTACAAATCATCTGCCCAAAAGTTAGTTTCAAACATCGGCTGAAAATTAAACAGAGTAAATTATTAAGCGCGTAGTGCATTGCATCATGGCATAAAGATACAGTTATACCAATTGATGAAACTGCTAATTTGGTAGCGTTTAATTCGTGCTTAACAAAAGAAACTCAATCTAATACTTGGTAGCAAAATAGTATTCATTTTTAATTTGGGTAAAGGTGATTAACTTAAACCGCTGAAGGCTGAGCTGCTGCCTGCGTGAAAGATATATATATATATACGTATGGCTGCACGTAACGCAACAAGAATATATGTTCCTTTCCGAAAGCCAAGTTTTGGCAAGTATGGTAGAAGACAAAAGTATGAGTTTGTAAAGAAACCCGAGGAATCGTCAATTAAAACAAACTATAAAATCTCGGTAAAGGAACTTGTAGTACATCAAACCGCTGAACACGTTATGAATATCACCTAAATGCGTTTGCACACCAAGAGTTTCAAAAAAGTAAACCCTATTTGGTTTTCATCTGGTAGGTTTGTCGAACTCTCCTACATAAGCCGGAGGTTTTAGAGCGAAGAATGTATTTTCTACACCTCTTCATTGATTAGCCATTCGGAAATGAAATATATGCCATAAATTTCTACTGGTAACCAATTGCGGTCGCGCTATATGATTCTGTAATAGTTGGGTTCCAGTACTTGTCTATCAGAGTCACACCGTGAATCATTATATTTAGATGGTTTTTTATGCAAATGGGATCATTTATCTTCCATTATAGCATTCTTGGGTTACCATCTATCTATCCATAATTTCCACCAAACATCCAAATTAACTTCAGTATTAGCTGGTGTGGACAATGGGATCAAAGTTAATATTTGTATTGTTGAGCATTATGAGGTGCATTTTACAGAAACCTCGCGTTTCTTATGGTATTTGTATGCTTGGGTTCCTCTTTCGATCATTGAGCATCGGACGGAACGGAGGATTACTGTGCTGCGCACAAAATCCTGTCTCCTTTGTTGCAATTATTGACAACATTAAACCTGACATCTTTTTCTAGTAAACTAGGATCGCTATCCTGAGAAGAGTCTTGAAACCTCTTTCCATTACGACAGTTTTCGGTTCGTTGGTGATGTCTGTTTTGAGTCATCTCTTAAAATCCATCATAAAGTTCGCTACGGAGTAGACCATACTGGTCTCCTGCTTTCTCCATGCTTTTATCTCACTGGCGCGTGAAGGAGCATCTGAGGTAATTATTGACACCATTGACACCAATAATTCTTAGGCAGTGCGCGTGTGTGCAGCACATGTACCGAAAACGGCACGGGTTTGCTTGTTTCGAACGGAGATATTTGGACTTGTGCATTGAAGTACCGTTCATGGAAGGTGTTACGCTTCAACAACTAAACTTCCAAACTCAACAGTAAACGGTTGGGTCGAAATGCCACATGAAGTCGGCAGAAATTTCCATAATCGAAGTATGCTAAATCGGCACCAGGACAATGGCGATTTTCTGGGAACCTACTGGTAAATATGTGCCGCTTAATTTCATCACGTTGGGCAGCACACTACACCACGCCACTTGGTTTATTTTCGTGCTCCGTATGACTATCTCCCCGAGAACAAGGAGGTAATCGTCGACGGAAAAAAGAGAGAGCAAGTTTTAAGTCTATTACGGGTTAAAATAATTGTTTTATTGATTCCATTGCTTCAGCACTCCCTGACTTATTGCTTCTGAGCATAATATTTTGAGATTTGTCCACAACATCTTCACAGTAAAGACAGTTTCTTAAAACATAACCTATGTGTGGGTGATGCGGATGATCACCGGTGGAAAAATTAAACTGCATCGTTTTTGTCCCTTGTGTGATTTATTTTTTTCTTCAAATTGTGATATATTTTAATCCCGAGCGAAGGCTAAACATATAGTCACAAGCCCAAGGCTCCGAAAATTGTTTCGTTGGCCCCTGTTTGCAATCCACACGATTCCTGAGGAACAGACCGAGACTTACGTTGTACTTGATAGGTAACGGGTTCAGGTTGTCCTAGGATCCTCTCCAATATTCTATTTCATATTCTTGCTTAAACAATTTGTAAAATGCTTGGCCACCCTCTGGGCCAAACAGCGGTCAGTTTCTAAGATGTCACTGTCAACGCGAATGCAGCTAAATCGATAAACCACGCGAGAGTCTGATCTAGCTGATGGGCTACTTTGACGGCTATGAAGAATAAGCTTACCCGTATGGTGCCTAATAAAGTATAGTCAACCTGAAACAGCTGCTGTTAGAAAACGTTTAAACAAATCTCTAGAGTTTGGATGACACTGGAAAAATCAGTAACCTATTCGAATGGATATCGTGTGCAAACATATGCCGTAAAATTACGACAAGTTTCGGCCGCCTGTAATAAATCATTTTTCCAACAGTGCATTAGGTTTTGACGCCACAAACTTGAATACTTTGCTACTGACATTTCAATCAAATCTGACGCATGTTAGTTATTACTCAATAAGCAGTAAATCAGCATATATTAAAGATTTACAAACATAAGCTTTCACTAGTCTTGTGTTGTAGATTTTCAAGGGCTACCTCGATGACCAGCTAAATGCTGACAGTGCGTGGACAGAAACGGTCGTGATGAATATTCATGAAGGTGGCGGTAAAGGGGCCTACCTAACGGATGACTTTCTTAAAGTGAGTTACCTACAACTTTATGTTCCGATTCTCATAGAAAAGTTGCCTAACCTGGAGTATGCAGTTTCTGCGTTGGCACAGGTGAAAATGTCTTGCAAAGACACTCGCATTGACATATGTATATACCATCCACGCAGAGCAGTAACTATAATTCTTTGGACAATGTCTTAGTTTATTTATACAGCTGAATAATATTTCAGGCTAATTTACAAACCTTTAGTATAGAAAATACCTAGAGCACACATGTGACAATTTACCCAGCTATTGCATCTCGGGGTTCCGGAAAATGCAAATCACAACATATATCCTGCATCACAAGGATGCTGTGCTTCGGCTCTACCATAAATACTCATCTCGGTCTCGTAGTACGATAGTTTACTATATCCTTAACAATAAATTATTGCAAACGAAATACAGATCGCACGATTGAATCACAGGTATCGACACCCACCTCACGCATCTGGACTGAAATAAAGGCGTAACTCCATTTTCCAATTTTCACAGTTCGACTACAAGGTGCTTCAACCATAATGTATACCTGCCTCGTCATTTCGATTACATTTCAGCTTTTCCCAGAACCGAATACGGGTGAGCAGGCTAAGTGGGTCGAAGTGGCACAGAGTGGAAATCTTCGAACCAGCCACAACTACATACTGAAAAGCGTGGCCGAGATCAAAACAGCATTCTTCTGAGTTCTCATAATTGTCCACACATTTCCAGATGATCCACCATTTTTTCATTTATAGAGCAGCCACTGTATGTGAGCGTATTCGCAATATTACACTGTCCTCCAATGTCATATTTTATGACAAACACTTGTTTTGCTTTCCCGAACAACAGTAAATCTACTGTGGAATTTATTTGTCTTTAAAATCATGTACATTATTTGAACCAACCTACTTTCTTTTGTGCCGTATTGATGCACGTTAGATTTTGATGCTCAACATATCCGGTTTACAGCTATCATAGCCATTCTACTCAGTAGACCAAGCGAATTGTCGAGCATGTAATATACTTCAACTGTTTTCCTCGAATGTCGATGTTAGGTTGTGCGGCGTTACATTGTCAAGCTCAGAGCAGTCCTGGAACGTAAGTGTTGCTCAAAGGTGCTTTATTCTAAAACATCTTAATTGAAAGTCCTCTAACGGTGCAATAAGGTGCGCAATAAAAACCGAATTCTCCTAGATCTTCTAGGTACGAGAAGCTGCAGAATCTGTTCAATCGCACCTCATTCGCTTTAGCTGTTAGGTACGTTTGCTACTTTCTAAATATACTTAATTTGGCGGCACTGCAATGTTCATTCAACTACGTGGCAACTTAATCACACGCCACGTCAAAACAGCATTTTGATCTTATCCATTACAATGCCGGCGTCGAAACACGTGGCAATTGTTAATGCACTTTAGCTCGCATTCACTCTGATATCCTATGGCATCGAGATGCACACGCCACATAACAATACTGGAATGATCGGACAACGGACGTGTGCGTTTCCGTCCACCAATTAGTTCCGTTTAAAGGAACACTTAAGTATGCCTTCAATAGGACAAGCTGAGTTCTTAGATGAACTCATCATACGGGACGTCTGCAACCCGCCTAACTGAGCAGCGCACATGCAGAGATTTACAGGTTGATGGTACCGGTTGCGTGTTATTTGGGGAAGTTATAGTTTGTTCCACAATCGCTTGAGTTGCGCCCAAGACGGCGTACAATGTTGAAATGTCACAATGCAAAACTATGATCAACAATTTTATAAGGGTTAAGAAGCACTGCTTTACAGGCCACATTGTGTTGTCTGGTGAGTTAACGAAACCCGTTAATACAAAATGGCAGTTGGTAGTTTGGCTGTCAAAAATTTGACCTATCACATTTGATGTGTTTCCAGAGCTTCAATAGGCGAACAACTAAATCCAAGATATTTCCCGCGGGTAAGTAGAGAGTATTGTCAAGCAACATAACATAAGTGGCGAAGTGCGTCATCCGACCGATATTTAAATATGGCTGGTATAGGTGAAACAACCGATGCGGGGAGAGCGTACAATTGTTGACACAACAATGGAAAACTTTTCTACACATTTCCAGACGGTCGTGCTTTTCTGCTACTTTCAAGGAATGAGCTTCCAGCTTGGGGTTATTGGTGAGTTAGAGTGAGGAGCGCCACATATGATTTTGATTGTGTACTATCAAGTACACCATAGTCAAGTCACCACGTAGTCAGCCATACCGCCTGCTGAATACTAGCAGAGGTTTCAACCTCTGCTCGTATAGAAGGTGATACGATTCAATGAGGTATTTAGAAACCAAACGTTGAGGTTGGTGTAGTGCAGTAGGGTCGTGTTTTAGCCATGTCTGTGAGGTTGAAATTCAAAATAAGGGCGAACATACGCATTGAGCATCTGTCTGCACATAGTGAGGTCTATCTCGCTGACTGCTAGTCGTAGCAAATCGCCATTTTAGTTACTAGACTTCGATGCCTCTGCAGATTGCGTGGAACAACTCAAATTATCCTGCACCAACAAGACAAAGTCGCGTTCGAAAAATGAGCACTGCAATACTTTTGTTCCGAGCCAGTACGCCTAGGTAGTTCGGTGTCATATCAAGAATACCTTGCATTTTCTCACGTTGAGGAGTGGCAGATTTTGGGTTCGCCACTGGTGTACCATATCTTGGTCGCACTGAAGTAAATTCCAATCGGAATCTTGCTGCGTCATGCACCAAATATTGATATCGCTAGCAAAAGGAGGACATTTTAAGCGATCGTCGGTGCAAGGTCATTACTGAATACTGTTAGCTCCGTTTGTCCCGCGTTTTGGAACAGTAATTTAACCTACATGGCAAAGGCTAATCACACACAACATGACATGCACCACTGATCCACACCGAAGTTGAAAGATCAAAGCCCTGTAACTGAGCCCTGGAGAAAACCAGACTCGACTAGTATGGGGTGAGATAAGGAACACCTGACTCTGACAACTAATTGTCGTTGCAGAAGAAAGCTGGCGATCCACCTTAGAATGAGGTTACCAATCCCGTAACTTTGGAGCTATGGAAGGAGAATCCAATGAGTTAAATGACTGAATACCTTCGACAACTCCAAGTGGATCAGACCAACTGCCCGTACAGCGTCAACTGACCCTGTGCAACTAATCACTGCGGTTACTAAATCCGTTGATGAAAGCCGCATTGCTCGGGACCAATAATGTTACAAATTTCTAGGTAATGCACCAACGCATCGGCAATGGCTATCTACCATGCTATCATTACCATTAGTTGTTTATCTAGAAGTACAGTCCCCATAAATGTTTCGTCCTTCGCGTACTATCAGGCAGTCTGATGTTGCTTGCGTGGGTACACGCTTGCATGTACCTCAATTCGTCTGTCATGGCTGTTTTTAAAGTCATAAATAGTAGTGAACACAATGAATTTGGCTCAATCATAATCCCGAGCACTAGCGAACAAGGCAGCATCATCTGCAGCAAAAGGCACAATAGGAATATTAAGGATTCTGGTAGAAATGAAACTTGCAACCTGGACAGCAAATATGCAGCATGGTGACAGAACTGAGGAACTTAACTGTGTCAACTGTTATTGTTAGGGCAATCTTGGGTATGTGAAATTGTAAATAAGGGTCAAGCTATAACCCTATGTTCCACAAAACGAATTCCAGAAACAGAATCTACTAAAAATGAGATAGAGACAACCGAGTCCAGTCTGAAGAAGAATTAACAATGATTTATCAGAGATAAAAAATATTTACTTGGGAATTCACGCAGGGTGGTAGGGGTACAATTTCAATGCACATGGACAATTACGATTAAGTGGAACAATGAAAAGTATCATTTCCAAATTACTACAGGAAGCAACATAATATGTAGTTATTTTTTGATGAAGCTGCACTACACATAACGTTGTTGTGCGATTAATTTTACTAAGTAAATCAACAGTGTGTTAAAGAATTCAGGTATCGTGTAAACAGTTTCAGATGGATCTCTAAGTCTTTGTGTGCATAGACTTGAGAATTTTTATATACCATGAGGATGGTCATGTATTTTTAGAATCCTGATGGTTCCTAGTGCAAACGTTAGTGAAAGGATATACGGAACAATCGCTCATGGAATAAAGTGCAAAGTAGATAATGCCCAACAATTCTTGAAAACCCCTTCTAATACTCTTTGCAGCTTAGAATCAGCCGCCTGCTCGTCGATGTCCAACACATATCACACAAATTCCTTTATAATTCAGTGGCATGAGACGAGTTGTTAAAACACATCTAATTGCGTAGTAGTTAATGGAATGTCGACATTTTGGATACAGACCACATTAAGATTATGAGCAAGTTTCATTAAGTTTAAGCCGTCTGACCAGCCTATGTATAAAATTGTTCTTAACTGATGGTTGGCATACTCAAAAGAGTGGATTTCATCAGCGAAATTAATCAAATCACTCGCTTATTCTGCACCCAAACAGAACAGCATTAAATACTTTGCTGATTCAAGACTTACGAGCAGCTACATCTTAAAGCAACACTGTCATGTTTATAGACGCAATTCGAAAAGCGAAAACAGTGAACTGTTGCTGGTATGTATGCAATGCATCCTCAACATATTACTTAATTAGGAACTGGTTCACGAAAACAGCAGCAAATTCTACTCAAAGAAAGCCGGCTTTATCCTCAAGAGGTTCAACGAAATTCGTCGGCCACTGGCACAATCATTGTGGGAGGGGTTTTCGTGATTAGTGACAAAAATAAATACCTCGGAAGATTTTTAATATTTTACGTAAGGCTCAACCATTGTTGAACGGCGATAGGATTTCGCTGACAAGTGCACACTCGCCATCTTTGAATAGATCTTTTGATCAAAGCCAGGAGCTTTCTTGAAGCTTCAATGATTGGATTGCTATTCAGATCTCTACATCGGTAGGAGTGACAGTGGGGACAAGCCAAGCACCATCCGAGGGAAACGAGGTGTCACAAGGGACTGGATAGCAAAATTGCTGGCCAGGGATACTTCGACGCGTTCCATATTTACGACATCTATGCAGCCGCAGCCAATGCGTACAAAATGTGTAGTGCTCTGCGAGATGTCCGGCTAAACAGTTTCACGGCCAGGTATTTTGTTTCTGAAATCGGATATTACTCGGAAGAAATTGTAAACGAGTTCATCACTAGTATATCACGGGCTGCGTCATACTTCAGTTTTACAGAATTGGGTCCGGCAAAATTCAAACGAGCGATGCTAATTCAAGAGCTGAGAGCTAGCATATCGAACAAGTAGTTAGAAAAACTCCCTGGATGACGGTGCATTTAGTTAGGAGACGGCTTGTTCAAATACTCATTAAATAAAAAATCTGACATAAAGCTGTTAGCATTCACTCTGCAAACGCCAACCATGACCCCACAACTTGGTTAAAAGCATGACATGTATGATCAAGACGTCTGTGATGGCAGAACCGTTTGCATCTTACCGATATGATAATTTAGGCAAATGCGCATTTGAGTGTAAACAATAGCAAATACTGTGAAAGATGGCTTATTTAGCGCGAAAATGCAGGTCAATCAAGCTTCATCCGGAAATGCAAAACCACGAGCAAAAAGTAACCAAATCTGTTGAGAACATTTACATCGAGAATGGTTGAATTCCGTGTTTAATCTACTTTAGTGTCATACACTGTGGTGATTTACGTACAACCACAGCAGGCACTGTTGGAGACATAAATGGGAGCATCAGTGAAAATGCTAAGGGCGAACACTGTAAAGCACTTACCACCCTAACGAAGACTCAAATCAAACATTCGGACGTACACGGGTGAGCCGACTCTTGTACCCTGCGATTGCATTGTACATGCATCATATGGCGCTGGGCTACACAAATGCCCTTTGTGTTT